TATTAAAGGAATAATTTGCCCAAAAAAGAAAATTTGCTGAAAATGTACTCGCCATCAGGCGATCCAAGGTGTAGATGAGTTTGTTTCTTTAATCAAAACAGATTTGGAGACATTTAGCATTACATCACTTGCTCACCAATGGCAGTGAATGGGTGCCATCAGAATGAGAGTCCAAACAGCTGATAAAAACATCACAATAATATACAAGTAATCCACACAGCACCAGTCCATCAGTTAATGTCTTGTAAAGTGTAAAGCTGCATGTTTGTAATAAACAAATTCATAATAAAGACATTTTTAACTTCCATCTGTTGCTACCGGCTAAAATACGTATGCATACTTATACGTAATATTGCTTTATAGTGAAAACGTTGTCTTGTCTGAATCAGCAGAGAAATACACAAGCAGTTTACAAGTGAAAACAGCCCAATACAGTTTTAAACAAATATGTCGGTAAATTTTGATGTGAGCGGACAACAGGGGATGGACTTTTTCACTGGAGGAAGTGTTATTATGGACTGCTATTTTGGCCAGAAGCATCAGTTTGAAGTTAAAATACTTTAATGATGAATTGCTTTTTTTTACACAAACACAGCTTTTCATGTCACACAATGTTAATTGGACTGGAGTTGTGTGGATTATTTGCGATTATTGTGATGTTTTTATCAGCTGTTTGGACTCTCATTCTGACAGCACCCATTCACTGCAGAGGATCAATTGGTGAGCAAGTGATACAATATTATATTTCTGAAAATCTGTTCTGATGAAGAAACAAACTCATCTAAGTCTGCGATGGCCAAGGATGAGTACATTTTTATTTTTGGGTGGACAATTCCTTTTTGTAATTCACTTTTTGTAATTGTGTTTTAGAGTAATGTGATGTCTTAAATTATCTTCGTTTGGGGGGCTTTTTTAAACAAATATTGAGACATGCCATATTGATTAATCAATATAGGACATAATCAATTAGATAACTTTTTTTTTTATTGACAGCCTATCTAAATAACAGATACACTAACTGTTTATGTACTGTAGGGCTTTTTTTACACTGTGACTCATCAGTGTTCTCCTTCAGGGACTTATAGCTCATATTAGCTTTTTTCCCACCTGCAGGTTTGCCAACACATCACTTACATGACATGTCCATAGGGGAAATGAGACTTTTAATAAGAAGTTTCTCTTCCTAGTTATTAGGGGGAAAAAAGACTTGTGCTTTTTGATTGAAGAACAAAGTGTAACTGCTTGACATGTTTACAGTTACAGTGGCCTCAAAAATTATGTGGATACTTATAAACCACATGCAACGTATACATGTTTTGTTATAAAATATCAAACTAAACGCCATTTAAAAAAATTTAAAATAAAAAATAAAACCTTTTCAAGAACATTTCACAAACGATGTTTTTAATAAAAAGTCTTATAATAATAAAACAGAAACATATTTAGTTGTTAAAGGGGTCATATGATGCTTTTTTAAAGATCACTGACATGGCTGCTTCAACACTAACTGCGGTTACTGAAACCACGCCTTCTTTCTTTGCGTGAACATTTGGGTGGCATTATGCTAATATTTCCACATAGTGAGGTAGATATGTGGGGGCGTGTTAGAACGAGCCGTTTTAGGGGGGCGTGACAGATTCTTAACTTTGATAAAGAATATCTCTTTGGTTTTGAGACTTTAGTCTTTGCAACTTCAGGGATCTTATCTATGCACCAAGAGCTTGTAACACTCCAAAGAGAAAGGAAAAATTGAAATCGCATCATATGACCCCTTTAAATGTTAATGGAACATGTTACTCGGCCACCTGTGTGAGCTTGAAAGGAAGTGACATATGTCCACTAAAAATAACCTTGAGATCTGTTGGTTAAAAATAACTGCAAAAGTCATACATTAAGTGTGTCTTAAGTGTGATCTAAATCTGCTACAATTTGACTTAAGATATTTCATAAATATACAGTATATTCAAAAATATTTTTAATGCGAGAGCTCTTGAATATCATGGACAGCATAAACAACATTGTTTTCAGTGCATAGCATATAGAAAACATTAAATAATAAAATAATTCTCCTCTGCATACTGTTCTCTCCATTCATAATCCACAAATACTTGGCAGCAGAGGGCTCGCTTTTCTCAAGGCCTTGGCCAAAACAGAATTTCAACAAAAATATTGTATTCTAGGCCATCCAGTCAGAAGTCTTTGCCTCTGCATCTGTAATGTCAGTGCAAAAAGTCAACTCCCTTCTCCCTTCCTGTCTGTGGCTTCTGTTTGAACTAAGCTTTTTGTGGATGACTTTTGGCATATATCAATGTCTATAAACTGGGTTATGTTTACGTGGGTACCAGACAGGAATGTGCCACTATAGAATGCAGATTAAAAATGGGCAGATCTTTTCCATTTGAAAATTTTAGATACTCCACTTTTTAAGCCCCAAGCAACATTTACACATCATTTGCATCAATTTAATACCTCCAGTTTGCAATTCGCATGAAATATTCTGACATGAAAGGAAACACGGAGGGCTTAAATGATCTCAGTGCTTTGTCTTTGCATGTGGATTAGTTTGAGTTTTCTAAAGGTCTGTAATTATGAGTTGTTAGGCGTGAAAGATCTAGCCCTAACTCCTCTTTCAAATCAGTAACAGCTCAGTACGACTATGGCCTGCTATGGGGTTTCAGTGAGTACAGATGGCTCCATTCAGTCTTCTGAACCACAACAGGAAGAGCGCCAACTATAAACCACTTCCTGTGTCAAATGAGGAGCAATGGTATGTAGTGTTTATGAGCACTTGAGCAGGGCAAGACACTTACTGCTAAACTCTGAAAACAGATTGAAGCCATATCAGCATACAGGTGATATTTCTAATTAGTGGATAAATCAAGTGATACATATAATCAGATTTATGCAGTGCATCTTCAGTAAAATTTTTCAAATATGGCCCTAAGCTTATCAAGATGAAAGGAAATATACAATACTGTACATGGGGCACAACGTAAAATATTTCAGCACATGACTTGCCTTAAACCTATTGCATTTAGGTTGTATTTTGGAATTAAAAAATAAATAAACAAATAAAATAAAATAAAAATAAAGCCTACAAGAATCAAAGATATCAGATTAAAAAAAAACATCAGAACAAAAGAAAAGAAAACAAAACTTGATTGAGTCTTACAAAGAAACAAAAACTGGACTAAAACCAAAACAAAAACATGACAGGGTGGTCTTTCAAAGAAACAAGAAATGAATAAAACAAAACATCATAGGGTCTTTCAAAGAAACAATTAAATAACAAAAAACACAAAACAAAACATGATGGGGCCTTAAAAGAGAAACAAGAATTAAATAACAAAAACAGAACAAAACATGATAGGGTCTTACAAAGAAAAAAAAAACACAAATTAAATAAAACACAAAACAAAGCATGATTGTGTCTTGCAAAGAAACAAAAATTAAAGAAATTGCATTCAAAACAAAACACATGATTGGGTCTTGCCTGTATTATAGTCACCACCACTACGGTTTTCTAGGTGTTTTCCAGGGCGTTGCTATGCGGTTGCTAACTTCCTATCAAAAGAGCTCACCCAAGTATATGGGAATTTGTGTAATAATGTACACAGGACAGTTAAATTTAACAGCAATGTTACATAAATTATATTAGATTACAGTTCTACACAATCTAAAGCATGTATGAAGTTCCAGTTCAGATGATGGCATCTGACATAAACTGGGTAGACTTAGTAGGACAGGTTTGTCCTGATCAGCCATCTCACCAGAATGAAAGAGAAAGATCTGACTCAGACATACTCACACTTGACAGTAAGAGCCTCGTAAGACTGTTGTCACAGCAACGGGAAAATCAAACAGGCCTTTGAATGAGTTTTGTCTGGTGTACTCTAGTGTAGAATGGGTGGGTCTGCGCTGTGCCCATGGTTACACCCTTTTACCAGAGTGAGTTACAACTGAAAGAAATGCCAACCGAATTAACTGACACACTTTGGATAAGTGAGTTGACACATATGTATGAACACATCATGTTTGTAAAGACTGTAGACAGAGAGGTAGGAAAATTATGCAAGTATGCAATGGCTATTTGTTTCAATGAAAGCCCAGCTTTAAATATTGGTTTTGGGATCTTAATCGAATCAAGTCTGTTGGAGAGATGAATCTATGGAAGCTTGTTTCCACCACTGAATAAAAAATAAAAAAGGTAATTGTGATTTTTTTTTTTTTTAGAATTGTGAGATATAAAGTCGCAATTGTATGTAATAAAGTCACAATTTTGAGATATAAACTCACAATTCTGAGAAATAAATTCAGAATTGCAAGATATCAAATTTTTTCTCGCAATTGCGAGTTTATATCTTGGAATTTTGACTTTATAACAAGCAATTGTGAGTTATAAAGTCAGAATTATGAAATATAAACTTGCAATTATGAGAAAAAAGCCAGTATTTTAATTTTTTTACTCAGAATTGAACTTTATAACTTGCAATTGTGAGTTTATATCTCACAATTCTGAGAAGTCAGAATTGCAATGAAATATAAACTTGCAATTATGAGAAAAAAGCCAGTATTTTAATTTTTTTACTCAGAATTGAACTTTATAACTTGCAATTGTGAGTTTATATCTGCAGGATATAAACTCACAAATTGCGAGAAAAAAGGCTATAGTTTATCTTGCAGTTCTGACTTTATTCCTTGCAATTGTGAGTTTATATCCTGCAATTCTGGAAAAAAGTCAGAATTGTTAGATAAAAATTAAGTTACCATTTTTTTTTTAGCGTCAGAAACGAGCTTCCATAGGAAACAGTTCTCTCCTATAAGAATAATAATCAATTACTCTGTTCAACTCTCACTGGTTAACAGATCTATCAATGAGTCACCATGGGAGGCACCCCATTGGTTACGCAATACATCCATCATGTCTGAAGAGTGAAACAACAATTCTCACATTCCACCTTCCCATTCATCTACTTTCCCTCTGCCTATTTTCCTCTCAGGAAATCCAGCTACAGAATACCAAATATTCCCATAGGAATGCTTCCTCCAGCCAACATTCCTCCAGTTGCCCAACATAAGTCCGACAAATTGTGAGAAGAAGAAGAAAGAAAAAAGAAAAAAAGTTGCTGCATAATGTGACCAACCCCATAGGCAATAATGAAAGGGCAATGCCAGCTTGTTTGGGAATGAACGGTGACCGGATTTGCTTTTTGAAATAACCAGCGAAAGAGTTTCTGTGTACTTGGTTTTAGGGAGTTAGCCTTCAAAGGTTTTAGGGGACAGTGTCACAAAACTTAGATTCCTGAGAGTTGAGTCAGTGCTATTGGCGGTTCCCTATATCGTCATTGCTAATATTGATCCTAGAGGTCGGCCTTTGACCTCTCCCACCATTCGCTTTTCCATATCCAGTGTTATCTGAGAACATCTGCAGCTAAGGTTCACAAGGGTCAGAGTACACAGAATGTAAACACTGCACAGCGCCATTAACACATCACTGTACTCAGCACACATTCATGTGAGGTACACTTCTGTTTCTGTTAAATGGAGTGTGAATGTTCATCGTTGTGCTAATTTCCTGCTGTCAAAACAAAGAAGATTAAACATTTGCAAAAAATAAATAATTAAAAAAATACATGCGCCACTATACTTCCAGTCTTCTGCAAAATATGATCAAGCCTGTTTAGTGCCTTCATGAAATATTCAAATACAATTTTTTGGAATATGTAAAAATAAAACAAAGTACCAGGGTCCTTTTGCATAACACACAAGCTTGGTCACTTCCCATCCAAGTTAACTAATATTAATGTGCAAAGATTTCCACCTGTAATCAGTGTCAATAGAGTGCTGCAGTGATGCTTTGTTTTTTGTAGGACAAGCCGGAAGTTAACATAACCCTGGTTCCATCTTAAAAAAAAAAAAAAAAAAAAAAAAAAAAAAAGGATTTTTCCATTAGCTTTTGGATTATTTCCGAAAATAAGCTCTGTGAGTAACAAAAGTTTGATTCTCACGTTTTGTTTATTATGATAATCTTCACAAATGAACACAACTTTTATGACTTTTGAAGTCTAGATACAATCAGCCCAAGTAAAAAGCTAAATGTAGGCTATAAACAAACTACACCACAGTCACATGATTTCAACGTCACCAGCATTAAAGGGTTAGTTCACCCAAAAATGAAATTAGTCCATAAATTACTAACGGTTCAAGGCATCCTAGGTGTATATGACTTTCTTCTTTCAGATGAATCCAGTCGGAGTTATATTAAAAATTGTCTTTGATCTTTCAAGCTGTTTAATAGCAGTCAGCGGGTGTTGCAGTGCATCAGTCCAAAAGAAGTGAAATAAAAATCACCCATCCATAATAAAAAAAAGTGTCTCACACGGCTCCGGGGGGTGAACAAAGGCCTCCTGTAGCGAATCGATGCGTTTTTGTAAGAAAAATAACCATATTTAAAACGTAATAATCAATTTAATCTAGCTTGCGCTCACTGTTGTAAACGAAAGCAGTTCCGGGGGAATGACGTATGAGGTCGGCGTTGATGAACGCGGAAAGATCTCCCCTGGAGAGATCAAACAAAACAACGGTCACTAATTAGAAGTACAAAACGAGGATTTGTAAAGAAGAATGTCGGAGGATTTCGATATAAGCCAAGAGGAGACTGGTTTTCCTTTGCTCCTGTAAACAAACGTTGGTTTTCACGATACTCACCGGCGCATGCGCAACACTGACATCATACATCATCCGCCCGGAACTGCTTCCGTGTACAACTGTTGGCGCAAGCTAGATTAAAGTGATTATTACGTTTTGAATATGGATATTTTTCTTACAAAAACGCATCAGTTCGCTACAGGAGGCCTTTGTTCACCCCCCGGAGCCGTGTGAGATACTTTTTTTTTTATGGATGGGCACTTTTTATTTCACTTCTTTTGGACTAGTGCATGCAACACCTGCTGAGTGGCATTAAACAGCTTGAAAGATCAAAGACAATTTTTTATATAACTCCGACTGGATTCGTCTGAAAGAAGAAAGTCATATACACCTAGGATGCCTTGAGGGTGAGTAATTTATGGGCTAATTTTCATTTTTGGGTGAACTAACCCTTTAAGCTTCCCTCAACTCTTTCCATCTTTATTTGGACAACTGAGTAGATGAGTTTACCTGTACGGAGAATGGTGTTTAATGTCTCAGACAACCAATTGTAAGCAGCCACCTTTTTCAAGACAAGTATTAGCAGTAAATAAATCACAAGGGGCTATTACTGATGTATTTCATGTTGTAGAATAAAAAGTTAAAACATATTGAGCTTGTGTTCACCACAGACTTTATTTCAAGCATTTAACCACAAACCTATTCAAATGGACGATGGAACAGGAACTGAACTTGTTTCTGGGTTTTGGCCTACAAAAATATATCATCCCTGCAGCACTCTATAGCAGCCAAATAAAGAACTATGAAGAATGACTAATTATATATATATATATATAGGCAAAAAAATGTATAAAAATAACTTATAAAAAAATAATATCAGCGCAACGGTTTTACACAGATACATAGCAATGGTAAAAAGCTTCTATGTGCCTATTAATAAGTGAAGTATTGCAGTTACCAAACCTGTCCTACAGAAACTATCGTGCAGCAGCCTACTGTCAAGCTGCACAAACAATCATATTTACTCATACTGACCGAGAGGTTAGTGTGTTAGATTGGTTGATAAGATTATCCAAAGGGACACACAATTATGACCATAATTATGAACAGAATGTAATCTTGTGCTTTTTAGGAATGTTTCGCCACCAATCTAATAACCTACAACATAAAACTTAAAACTCAGACTTTATCTGTACTGATTCACTTAATATTAGACAGTTAACACACCCCTATTCCATCCCCTTTTTCTATTTTGAGGTGCGGCCAGTTAAAATATTGTTGGAGTGATTACAAAACTGAACTACAGGCTTGACTGGTCCAGCAGACTGAAATCCTTATTGTTGTGCCCTGCTGGAACAGGCCTTTACCATTTACCTTTTTCTGGCATGATCATTTCATCCTAAAAGAACAATGAATCAACACTATAGTCTCATAACCAAGTTTTGACAGAATTACTTGTCACACTGATGCCAGACTGAATGTGAGAACCACAGCTAGAAAAATTTAAAACAAAAATATAATTCTAGAACCAATGCATTAGGACCTAAAACCATTCAGAGAAACCCCAAACCACTCACTTTGTTTTATTCAGTCATAAACATGAATAGTTACTAGCTTTGATCTATCTATCTATCTATCTATCTATCTATCTATCTATCTTTTATTAAAATTCTTGTGTATTAGGTACTTACCCTCTCATTTAATTAGGCCAGAATGAGCGATATTGATTCATCATTTACACACCCTCATGTCATTCCAAACATGTATTTCTTTCTACTGTGGAACACACGAGATTTAAAAAAATGTTGGTAACAATTTGGGTGACCATTGACTTCCTTTGTATGGACAAAAAAAACATAAAAAAAAAACAACAACTAAGAATCACTAAGAGATTTCTCAAAATATTTTAATATCCAACAGAAGAAAGTCACACAGGTTTGGAAGGACATGAGGGCGAGTAATTGGTGAACAATATGACACTTAGACTGCACAATGTCATCATTTTTTTTTTGCACTCAAGTGTTATAGCTCATAAGCTTTGTTCTGTTTTCAAAGGTAAAAGCAGTGCATAGGAATAGAAAGTGTCTGAATCCAAATTTAAAGTGAATTAAGTCTCTTTAAAAGAATAATGAAGGCCACATGGGCTACACAAGTGTTCTGAGGTGTGCATTTTGTGTTCCCTCACACATACAAGAGGAGACTATTAATAGCATGCGTGTCATTAGCTGAACACCACCATCAGCAGAGCCTCAAGCACCACCCAAACTCCTATAATACAGTCAGGCCTGACATCACCCTGACCACTTCCCTTTTAGATATCACAATAAAACTAGCTCTGCACTAAACGTTCCTGAGCAGGCAGGCAGGCAGGCAGGCAGGCAGGCAGGCAGGCAGACAC